CCCCGTAACGCCCGCGGGTCGGGTTCAGCCACTCGCGTGCCCTCCGGGGCTGGGCGCATCGGGGCGACCTTCAGCTGCCTCCGAAAGGAGCCTCACTTGCGCCTGCCGAAACCGCCCTGCAAACTCGCCGCACGTGTGGGGTTTGAAGGCGGCCGGGGCGTTTGCCTCGAAAGCACGCCGTTTGCTTTTTTTGGTTTATGATGGTTGGGCTGCACATCATCGTGTGTGACACGTAAAGGTAAATAACGTCTATGTATTCTTTTCTTATCAGTAAAGAAAGTTAGGCTGTAACTACTCCTGTTAGTTGCACAATATGCAGAGGCGACCCCCCGGAGTCCGCCGGTAGCGAGGCTGCTGATCGCGCCTCGACTCGCTGCCCTGTAACAATTCTCGCTCCAGCGCTCACACTGTAAGCCTTCACCCCAAATTACATTTCCTCAAATCAGATTTGATACTAACTAATTTAATATTTTATTATTAACTAAATACTGCAGGGAAGGTCTCTTTGCACTAACAGCTAGATGGAGATTACCTCCGGGAATGCAATCTGGGCTCTAACACGCTGCTATGTTGTCTTTATCTCTCCGGCCCAACTTGTTTTACCTCATACACGCGCTACACATTATTCTTAAGCATAGGCTCTAGCTCTGGAGAACAGTGTGATCAGTCTGCAGGCAGCACTTTATGCCTCCTAGTGCCCTAGCCACCGGGGGAGCAGAAACATTCAACTGTACCATCGGCCGTCCCACGTGAAACAAGTTAAAACAAGCAGAACTTGGCTGAAAAATTTTGCCACCCTCCAGATATCTTCAACAGAAGCGAGTCACCCTTACAGCTGCACGCGCAGATAGACACCCGGAGCCTGCACTAACAGACGCCGCTGCTATCTGCCCGACCAGGCCACGTTCCCCAGAGTCTTTCTGATACGGAGCGATCGAATGGTCCTTTCCGACGGTCGGCTGTATTGCTCCGAGCAGCTGTCCGGAGCACCGCTCGGCCCCTCATCTTCTTGCGTTAATTCCAATACATCCTGTTTGGCTCACGCGTATTTTCCAAGAAAGGAGCTAGGCTTGATTTTAAGACACAAAGCTGGAGAACCCCAGCTCCCCTGGCTCTCTTTCAGGAGCCCATCAGCCTCACTTTTAGAGGAGCAACCCACATCTCTGAGCCTGGCTCCAGCTTGCAGACGCACCATTTTGCTCTGCCTCCTGCTTGATTAAAGGAGCTTTTAGAGCCTGGTGTTTTCTCACTCTGACATGACACACATGCTGCAGGCAAGCTCCCTCTCAGCCCTTTTTCCAATGAATTGGATATATTGAGTTCCTTAATTCTCATACTGCCAGGCTTTTCCCCCCCACCCTCAAGCCATTATTTTGCTTCTCTGCTCTACACACCCTCCCTGATTTTCCTGCATCTTTCCAAGCTACAGCATCCCACAATAAGCCCCACTAATGCTTTAACATGAGGGTTACATCTGCCTTTTCCTCTTCTCTGTCCTGAAGAGCTGCTTTGACCCAGTCTGCCAGGACCAGGCGTTCGCGCCCGCAGCACCTTCGCTCCCACGCGTCCAGGCCCCTGAAAGGCGGAGCAGGGCGACGGTGACACCTCCGCTCCCGGGGTCCCAACTCGCCCCGTCCCATCTCGGCTGCCACGCTGGCGCCTTCTCGGAGCAGCCTGCAAATGCTGGGTTTGCACCTGCGGCGAGCGCCACGGAGGGCACGACATCCACCGGCGCTCTGCCGGCACGCCGGTGGCCGGGGGGCAGCCGGAGAAACCGTTCGCAGGCAGAGCCTGGCGGGATTTCCCTCCCACTCCCTCCTCCCGGTAGTTATTTCACCCGGGCAGCCGGAGCCTCCTGCTCCAAGCGTTTTTCCGAGGGTGCACGTGGCCCGTCGGGGCCGGACGCGGAGCTGGCCAGCTCTCTGCGAGCAGGCGTCCCGGCTCTCATCAGCCAATGTGCTATGAAATCAGGCGACCAACACAGGTAGCACCTGCTGGTATTCAGCCCAATTTGGGTGTGAAACTGGGGAAATATTACACAATGCCTCTTAACATTTTACATAACGTGCCTTGAGTAACAGCAGTCACTCAGGAAGCTGGTGCACCACTTAGTGTGCTATGCGCTGTGAAAACAGCCCGGTAAAACAATACGCTGGGTGGAGTTCCCACGTTTAATCCTGTTCTGTAAAGAAGACAGCTCAAATGTTCCTTGTGTATTTACCGTTCCAAGGGTTTTCTTTTTCCTCAGCAGCTGCCCGAGTCTGATGCGCTTGAGACCTGGGAGTGAAACTGGAGATTTTTCCCAGGCCACTCGCTGTCATCAGCTATCACAAATCTGCGACTGCACTTCAGCCGATTACACAAATGATGCGTAGCCTTCGAAACGGCCCAGCTCCTTCTGCGATCGCCACCTCTCTCCTGGGCCGAGAGCGCAAAAACAGATTGCTGTCCCTGAGGCCATCAGCTGCGACCACTCCAAGCGCGGCAGATGGGAAAGGTGGCTTTTTACAAACAGAGGTGTGGAGGAAAGCAATACCAGATAGACCTGAATTTCTGAGATCGTTTCTAAATAGACCTGATCTTCTGAGACAACTAAAGCTGGAAGGGCCATGAACCTGGATCGGACACCAATGGCCCAGAAAGACCCAGGGAGTCCTGCTCGCTTTGGCTACCGCGAGCCCAAGGACAGCAGCTGCTGGCTCTGCCCCAAGCCCTCACCCAGGCATCACCCCGGCCCCTTTCAGACCTTACAAATAGCTGAAACAGCAACGTAGGGGAGGCAGATACTTTCCAACCGCTGTCCGTATCCTCCTTCGAAGGGACCTGCAGGAGTGGCCCGATCTCACGGAGCTCCGCAGCTGGAGTGGGACGTTTGCACCACAGCAGGGCGAGGAGAGGCCACAGCTCCCGAAACCGGGCATGTTTGTGCCACAGGCCGGATAATTTGCACAAAACATTTTGATGATGCAATTGTGGTTTCCTTTGACCCACAAGTGTTAATTTTTAACAAATATTGGGCTGGAGGGTGGCCAGGGTAACCCTTTGGCTCAAAAAGAGCAAAAGCAACACGCAAAGAAACAGGAGAGACACCTGAATTTAGGTTTGGGGTTTTGTCACTGGGAAGCCAAAAACATAGCTAAGGGCATCACAGATGCGGTTTCGTAGAACTTGAGCGTTCTAAAAAAACTCATTGCCTTTGCACAAAAGGAAAGGTCCAGCAGATAAAGGCAGTAGCATCTATATAGCACACTTGGGCTTTTCTAGTGTTCAACAGTGACGTAGATTTTTTAAATTAAAAATGTGTATTATAAAGAATTAATAAGGCTCACGTTAGATTAACAGCTAAATTCATTAACAACTACATTTTGAGGTCTGTCAGTGAGCCAAGTTTTAATGGGGAGACATCAACAAATGGGAACCTAACTGGACCCCTAGAGACGGTTTCCTGGTCCAATGCCATTTAATAGTTTTTAAAATCAATTATCTCGATGACAGGATGAAGGCTTAAATTTGTGGATAGTACAAATAATGAACAGGCTGCTTGCTGTTACAGAGTGATCTGAACTGTCTGATAAAATTATCACAATTCACAGTGCATTTTAAATAGCCCTGAATTCAGATTAAGATACAAGGAGGACAGCTTGTACCAGGAGATGGAGGATCTCCCGGAAAGCGTCAGGAGGAGGAAAAAAAAAAAGGAAATAAAGAAAAAAAAAGCCAGAAAAACAGACAGCTGTCTCCACACACATTTTCTGCTACGAGCTTGCATCCCAGCACACTGGCTGGGAGACACCGTGCGCCAGAGACGTGCGGAGGGGATTTGCAAGCAGAAGAAGGGTAGTGCTCTTGCCTCTCAGAGCCCTTGCTCTCTCTACGGCACCAGCAAAGCCAATTTTATGTCCAGTTCAGCTGTCCTAACTTCAGAACAGTCATGGAAAACCTGACCAGCAGCAACACCACCCTGGAGCATTTCAGCCTGGCAGAGCAAAGCACGAGACCCAACGGCTGGGAGCTGCAAATGGAAAAAATCAAGCTTGAAATTAATTAAATGTCTCAGCAGCACGGCCATCGAACACTGCAGGGGGTAGCCAGCCCCATTGCTCAGCAGCTTTAAAATGAGATTGGATGGTCTGGAGTTTTAATTTAACTTCCCAACAACATCTGTGGCTCGGACATGAAGAAGGCCTGCCCGTGCGGCCACAGTGGCGGTTTCGCCCCTGATCTGATCACAGCCCCTGTCCCAGAGAGGGCCGGGTCGCCTGAGCTGCCCTCCAGACACCCGTCCCCGGAGGGAGCTGGGCCCTTTGCCCTTCACCTCCGCTTCAGCTTGCAGGGAAAGCCTGCGCGGGGCTGAGGCTGTGGTGGGCTGGGTCCCGGCTGGGGATGCTCCTTGTCACCCATCCGCACAGCGCCAGGCGCCGCTCAGCCAGAGCACAGGCTTCTCCACCCACTCTTCCAGGCCATGCACATGTTTTTCACAGACCTGGGCATCATGGTCCGGCCCGACCAGCTCCCGGCTCCTCAGTGTCGCACAGCTCTCAAGCACACGCGCCGCCCCCAGCAGCGCTCAGCTCCAACCCTTTGTTGTCATATTTCCTTTGTTGTCTTATTTCTTAATTAATTGTTTTGGAGCAAGAAAGCCTTTTCCTAACTTCAGCTGGCCTGTCGCGGCGGTGGAGGCACACGGTAGCTGGATCCTCTCACCGATGTCTACGTGAATCCCATCCTATCTCCCGCTGCCCCCAACACCCGCTGAACTGAAGCATCTTAACACGCACTCGTCTGCAGCAGCCCAGCAGCACCCCCGTGACTTTCCTGCAGCGCGGTCGCAGGCTTTGGTGCTCATGCTAATCTCTGCCGCGCAAGTCCAAGAGAGCCAGCGCCTAAAAACACAATTGAAGCACAACGGTTTATGATGCTGCTGGTTCAATCCCTGGTTAGGATTTACAAACTTCTCTAATTTGTGTATCCATGTTTGATCTCTTCCCCGTGCACCCCGAGGAAATGGCTGCGAGCCAGCGTCACTCCTGAGTAAGCCGTATTCCCGCGGCGGCCGAGCCGTGCCCCATTTCAAATTTCGTGATGTCGTTTTTCATGATTTCAGACATAAATGGGGCCCACGTGCCAGTTCGAGTCGGCTTGGTGCATAATTGATGGCACAGGTACGAGCACGCTCCTTTGGGAAAAGTTGTTTCACGTCGTCTTTCCTGGCCCCGTTTCTTGCATAATTTGGCGTAAAATCTCGATTTTGCAGTAGCGTCTGTGCAGGTTGTACTGCGTGATGGTCTTTCAACCTGCTTCAGTGAGCAGCTCCCAGGGTGTCGCGGTGTCTGCAGAGCTGCTGGCTGCTCCCGGCTCGGCGTGGACGACCGGAGCCTTCTCCAAACCCTCTGCCGTGCGCCAGGGCACTGCCAAGCACCCCTGCGCACCCTGGCACAGAGGTGCTCTCCCCAACTGCTCGCCCAGAGGCTGCACTGGCTACAGCAGCACCCGGCCCTGGGGGTGGCGCGACCCCGTCTGGAAACGGGATGAGGAGCAAAGAGGTAGCAGAGGGCTGGGGGTGAGGACAAGCAGAGGGAGGAGAGGGAAGGAGCCAGACGACTCGCTGCCTTTGTGCAAATCCTGCCAGTCCCTGGAAGGCAGTGGGAGGAGGTGCGGAGCTACCGCCGCAGGTGCTTCACCCGCGGGCCCGAGAGCCCCCACCTGGCCTGGGGGGTGCATGGCTGGCAGGCGGCTGGCCTTGGCCCCTCGGACACCTGCCCCATGCGCTGCCCTCCCAGGCGCCCCAAGGAGCCTGCAGGCCCACCTCCCCACTGCTCTGGGAAGAGCCTGTCCTTGCCACCCGGCTGGGGAGCGGGTGCTCCCGCGCCGGGGGGCTTTGGAGGCCCATCGGCAAGATGGGGCAGCTGGTGCTCATCTTCTCCCCCTTGCAAAAGGGAAGGAAAGCGAGGAGCCATCTGCCACAGGATGGTCCGTAGTGCAGAGCCATCAGGGCAAACTGGCCGCATGGGCCAGGGAGAGGGTGTAGGGGCTGGGGCCCCTGGCGTGCATTGTGCTACCATTGCGTTGCAGGACCTAGCCAGGGTTTTCACGCTCTGCTGCCAGCTGTGAGCTCTCCACTTTTATGAGATTCAGCGTTTGGGCAACCTGTGTGTGCTTGTAGCCACTTTGCAACACAGGGCACCAGCATGACCTGCAGGAAGCACCTTTGGGTGCTGACCCACAAGGGTTAATAGCCAGCAGGAGGACTGGTCTTTCCACAAAGCAGGGGAAGCTAAACGGAAAGAGGCATCGTTACCACCAACATCCTCGCTGTCAGACCACTTCCCGGGAGATGGGGCAGATTAGCACCTCTTATATGTGCAGCAACCCAAACAGGCGCTGATTGGACAGTCCAGCAGCTACAAACCACCCGTGCTGCTGAGCGAACCCCAGCACGAAGCCAGCCGAGCAGCATACCCCAGCTCTGCTCTCCCTCTGCAGGGGAGAGGGGGGCAATTTGGCCCTGGGGCACTGAAAGACATGTTGAGCTTTTGCTCACCTTCAGCAGCACCCAGGACACAGCCGTGGCTTGGCACTGCCACCTCCCCGCGGCGATGTGCCACAGCACACGTGCAGAGAGCTGCATGGCAGCCCGAAAGGGAATAGAACGCATGCACGCGCACACACACACACACACACACACAGGTGCCTGCTCCCCCCCGCAGGAAGACATTCCTGCCACGTGCCAGGTGTCCCTGGCAGCGCTGGGGCACCGGGTGGGGATGAGCCCGGGCAGAGGGGGCAGCCTCCTTCCCCGCACCGCCCGTCCTCAAGCATCTTGCCCGGGAGGGCAGCACCAACACAACCTCACTCGTTTCCAAGCCAAGGGACCATCTAAAGGCCCTGGAAGCACCAGCTTCTCCTCTGCCCTCAGGAGCATGGGGATAACTGTCATTTGGAAGCAGCAATTGCTTTCCAACCCGGGGGCCCTTTGCTCCGCTTCCAGAGCGAGCTGTTTCCACCTTCTCCAGCAGCTCCTGCCCACGGTGCCTGTGAGCCTGGAGCAGAGGCTTTGGTGGCTGCAGCAGGGCTGGCAGCAACGCCAGCTGGTCCCCCCCTCAGGGCCAGGCAGCTGGGCTGCAGCGGGGCTCTGCCCAGCAGGGGATTTTTGGATCTGTTCCTCTGTAATGCTTTCAGGAGCCTTGGGCCCTGCAGAGGAGAAAATCTCCCCAGCCAAAGGGGACTCCCTGTTTCTGCAGCAGCAAATGGCCACGTGCTGTGTTTTGCAGCCCAAGCTTCAGTCCCACAAGATAATTTCTGCTCAGATACCTGACATACTTCTGCCCCAGCCAGGAACAACCACCAGCTCCAAAGCTGGCAAAACCTGAGGGATCTGTTCACCTGATTTCTCAAGAGCAGCGAAAATGCACAAGGCCAAGGTCTTGTTTCCGTTCCTTCTGCTCCGTGTTCACTACCATATTCACAGTCTGCTTATGGTATTACCTGCCCAAGCCTAGCTCACTCTTAGAAGTTGCGCTCAAAACAGAAGTGTGGGTGCGTGCTTGCATATACACGCATACACACATATATACATATTTGCATGCATGCTCATTTTTCCTCCTGTCTCCCAGCTCTATGAGCTCTCTGCGCAGGTACAATCAGCTCCTGCCTGGCTATTCTCTCGCACTGCTCCGACAGCGATGGCACAGCGGGTAGCGTTGCCTTTGCAGCCTGTGCTCCCTTTTTCTTGTGCTCCTGGTGGGCTGGCTGTGCCTCGAGCCCCTGGCCAGGCTGCAGGTCTGAGCAGCCTTGCTAGATAGCCGAGCTCCTCCCAAGGCAGCAGGCAGCTGGCCCTGGAGCAGGGCTGAGAGAGGCATCTCGTGGTCCGGATGTGGAACGAGGCTGTCATCTCTTGCTCATCAGTACAGG